CATCCTGGAGATTAGGGAATGAATGCACTGGTTACTCAATTTTCAGGGCTAAAGAACAGATCCTATTTTAGTCACTACCTTAAAAGGTTTATGGAACAAGTTGTCCACTTTAGACACACACACACACACACACACACACACACACACGCATACCCCTCCCATGATTCACTCTGAAAATAATGCCCATAAATTTCAGATGATTCATCATGACAAAAAATGTAATTAAATTATCTGATAAAATGTCTTTAGCGTTGGTGAAGGGTTACAAAATTTCTTCAACATCAACATTTAAATCTAAAAGGCCTATTTAACTCTGTAATGTGAAAATGAGGCTGTTTTCAAGGAGTTAAACTATAATAATTCAACAAGAACAATAAAGAGGCCAAAAAAACTCCAGTCTAAGAACAATGTTTGTAAAGATAGATGACAATTATTTTTCTATTGTTAAAAGAAAGAAATTATTCAAATTATTCAATAATTGAAAAAGAAGGGGAGGGGGAGCCATGCAACTCTGCTGCTTTGAATGTGTCTGACATTAATCATCAAAGTTGGTCCACTTACGGAGATTTCCCATGGCTCCTTACACTCTCTATCCTTCTCTGTTCTGCTCAGTGATTGCAGTCATTTCAAAAAGTGGGACCTGGGGCTGTTCGGTTTTTCTTCTAATTTTACAGTGAACCCCATCTACTGCTGCGCACACATGGATGCATAGGTGGCCATGGTACTGATCTACATGTGGTCATTATTGTCCTCATTCACTTCTGACACCCACCCGAGGACAGCCAATTAAGAAAGGCTTTCTGAAAGAGGAATGTAAAGCCTGCTCCTCCAGACCTCCATGGCTCTGTGCTTTCATCAGTGCTGCCACAGATGTCTGTTACCCAGAGTCCCTAAGGATCCTTCTCAGGGGACTGGGAAATGTAAGCAAGCTTCATGGCTTGGACCCAGTGGGGCAGGATTGGACTGCATCTCATTTGGATCTCACAGTCTCTTGCTTCCTCAATCATGAATGAATGCCAAGAGAGGCAGAAGAATGAAGGTAGGAGCAAAAAGATATTAAGCCATGAAGATGGCCTAGTAGAGACCCCAAGAAGCGTACCCTGTGCTCCATGACGATGGAGTATACAAAGGAAACCAAAGGCAGCTAGGTGGTGTACAGGGTGGTTGAGTCAGGAAGGCCCCGAGTTCAAACTTAGTCTCCAGGCATTCATTTTATGACTTCAGGGAAGTCATTTAACCTGTTTGCCTCAGTTTCCTCAACTGTAAAATGGGGATAGTAATAGTGCCTACCTGCTTGAGTTATCATAAGATCAAATGAGATCATATTTGTAAAGTGCCTAGTATACAATTGGCACTTAATAAACACTTGTTTTCTCCCCCCAGCCTCCCCTGCTCCAAGCCCACAGGAGAGCCACAGCTCACAACTTCTTAACAGGTTATTTCGGTAAGCAGATCCCAAGTCAATTCCCTTGCGTCAAGCTTGGCTAACGAGCCTCCCAAATTTGGGCAACATGCTTTGCGCATCTCCAAGTCTCAGCTGCAAACCTCTGCAGGTTGGTAGTTGCAGAGATCGGAAGAAGAATGTATTTACACAACTACACACTTCTGGCTTTATTGACATTTACAAATCACCTCACTTCCATCATCAGAATGGTGCAGCTTGGGATGGACTAAGAAAGGAAGAAAAAAATTATATATATATATATATATATATATATATATATATATATATATATATATGTGTGTGTGTGTGTGTGTGTGTGTGTGTGTGTGTGTGTGTGTATACATACATAGACATATATGTTGTTGTTTTCGAGTTGTTTCACTTGTGTCTGACTTCATGACACCATTTGGGGTTTTCTTGGCAAAGGCACTTGAAGTGTTTTGCCATTTCTTTCTCTGGTTCATTTTACAGATGAGAAAACAGGCAAACAGGTTTAAGTGACTTGCCCAGGGTCACATAGGTAGCAAGTGTTAGAGTCCAGATTTGAACTCAAGAAGAAGAGTCTTCCTGACTACGGGCTTGATGCTCTACCCACTATACCATCTAGCTGATGCTTTTTTTTTTTTTTTGGTGAGGCAATTGGGTTTAAGTGACTTGCCCAGAGTCATGCAGCTAGTGAGTGTTATGTGTCTGAGGTCGGATTTGAACTCAGGTCCTCCTGATTCCAGGGCCTATGCTCTATCCATTGTGCCACCTAACTGCTCCAGCTGATGCTTTTTTAAAAACGTTGCTAATGCCCCAAATCGTTCCCACCTCTGCCCCCCCCTTAGAATCTTTTCTTATAACAAAGAAGTACAGATAAACATAAGTAACCCAGATATAAGGGTCAGCCTACCTGCCTCATTCCGCACACATTGTCCCCTGACTTTCTAGTGAGGTAAGGGGCAGGTTTCTTCATGAGTCCTCTGGACTCACTACTTTGATCAAAATTCCAATATCTTGGGGTCATTGCTCAATGCTGTTTCCAGGGAGTGCAAGAAGGGAAAAGATGGGGCTCTTCTGAGGTTTAACCACATAGAAAAGTGTCCAAGCTGAACTTTGAAAAGGGATATTTTGAACTCAGCAGTCACACGTGATCTGCTGCTAGTCACCGCCATTTGCACAGATAAGAACAGACGCCACCACCATTTAAAAGGAACCAGGCCACTCAGCATAAAAAGCCAAGAAGACAGCAGGAGGGGAAAGCAGTTAAAATGAATCAGGGGAAGGGAGTACGTGGGGGATGAACGCCATCTTCTTTCCTGTCACCTATGTTCTCGCTCTCTGAGGCACAAGGGGATCTTTTCCTCGCTCTATTTTCCCACTCCCCAAACCCTATCAATTGCCAAGTCTTCTTTTTTGTCTGCTTCTATCTGCACAACATCTCTTGAGTGCATTTTACCTACACACACACACACACACACACACACACACACACATAAAAGTCCACCCCCCTGGCTCCAGCCTTCATCCACTCACACCTGGACCACTGCAGTGACCTTGGAAGTGGCCTCTCGGTTTCTAGTATCCTCCTTCCCAGATCCATTCTCTATTTTGCTGCCAAATTTACATTCCTTAAACCCAATCCTGCCCACGTCCCGTGTCTAGTTCAAAATCACCAGGGGCTTACTAACTCGTATGATATATCATACCTGATATATAATATATAATAATATATAATACAATAATTATATACTATATATATAATGTAATCATAATAAAATAATAATATAATATACTATAGATAATATAGAAAATCTTCAGCCTGAATTGTAAAGTCCCCCAGAACATGACTCCCACTTCTTTCTTGCCTGGTTTCATTTGGTTCCTCTTGACATGCTTTCTGCTCCCATCAGACTAGCCAGCAAGCTTGGCTTTCTAGGACAGTCAATTCCATCTCAGACCTCAGGGGCTGGATGCTTCCCCTCCACACCTCCACCTTCTAGACTCAGCCCTGGTGGCTCCTTCCTATATAAGATTTCCTGATCCCTGCAGCTGCAACATTTTTCTCCCTCTTGAAATTGTTTCCAAAGACTTTCTAGCATCTTTGTAGTTTCACTTCCAGGTACATCTTTCATTACTGACTACTGATAGAATGTAAGCTCCTTGAAGCAGGGATCATTTCATTTTTGCCTTAGAATTCCCAGCAGCACATAATTCCATGTCAGATAGACACATAGCTAAATTAAACATTCATGAGGTACTTATATTGTCCTAGACACTGCGCTCAGCCCTGGGGATACATATAGAAGCAAACAATTGAGTGCCTCTGCTCAAAGAGCTAAATTTGAGTGAGCAAAGGCATTGCACAAGCATGGGAGGTGCTCATTTGGAGGAAAGGTAGAAAGGCTGCAGAAATTGGCTCTAGGGCCCATGGTTTGGCTAGATAAGGCAAAAGCCTCATCTATTATATTCAAAGGGAACCAGGAGTGGAGTCCTCACCTCCAGTGGGATTAAGAAGGTCAGAGAGCAAGGCCGTATGGCATTTGGTATTCAGCAAAGCACATATTTGTGGAATTTCATCAAAATTTTTGGATGCACACACTAAGCTAGCAGAATTTTTTTTTTTTTTATCATTCATGGTGGGGGTGGGGTGGTCAGTAGCAATGACTAAACCATGGTTAAATATGCCATGGTTAAATATGCTATGGCTAAACTTGGACTCATTATGAACATGAAATTACAGCAGCCACCGGTAAAATTTCCATGTAGCTTGAAATGTCTTTATATGTATTGCAACCAATATTTTCATAAATTTATAATAAAACAAATGTCATCTAAACTTCTGATTTCAAAAATCACATTAATTTTTTTTTTATTACTGGTAATATGTTACAAAGAAAATGTGTAAGTAAAAGCCACTCTTTAGATGTTGAAGAAACAATCACTTTGCAAAGAAACAATCATTTTAGACACCTCTTCATGAAGTGAAAGCTGCCCCACCAGCAGAATAAGCTCTGGGCAACCCAAAAAATCTGACTCTAGGAGGAATGATGGACTTCGAGTATGATCCAGGGACATGCCTGCCTAAATTTAAATGAAAGCACTTTGAAATATTGCCTTTATTGTTGCAAAAACCTTGTTCCTATTTTTTTAAAATAAATCTAGGTTACCAGATTTTCTGTCTTGATGTACTTACTACACTTCAGTCCTTGGAAAGATCAGCATCTCCTGCTATCCCATAGAAATGTCTCTTGGAACAGATATTAGCCAATCATTGAAAAGCTAAGCCTTTGTAAGTATCTCAGTTATGTGAAGATTCTAATTAAGGCTTGCATTCCCCCAATTATAAAGTATTCATAGAAACCTGGCATTTCCCACACATCCACACGATCTTTTGTGACTCTGCCATATATCTCATTACCAAAGGCAAGCTGTTGCCTAGTTCCATCCCCCCTCTGATTTCCTCATGAAGAACCTACGATGCTTCCTGAATTTCTCAAACTCGACTTTTCCCGGGGGTGGGGGTGGGAGTGGAGAGACACAAGATGAAACAGAAACAGGAAGAAGAGCTTACCCCCAGAGAGGAGGGGAGGTTTACTTTTGACCAAGGGGCTGGAATGAGGGGCTTGGCTGCTAAAGGATGTGAAGAGATGGGCACTGAAGTCATCGGGCAGCTCGGCCTCCAGGAATGTTTTCATGAACAGCTTGAAACCTTCAAAGTCTATGGTCTGCAATGGAAGCAAAAGTTTTAAAAAGATGAACGCAAAGATTAGTTGCCTGCCCCATGGGATTATCATTAGAAACACTAAATTACCCATGATGATATTCAAGCTATGTGATGAAGATTGATGATGATGATGATGATGATGATGATGATGATGATGATGATGATGATGATGGTGGCAATGTTAGGTCCCATTTCTCCAACACGTTTTAGACTCACAAAATATATTACATACACTATCACGTTTGACCACAATGACCCTTATGAAATAGCTAAGTGATGTATTTTCATTCTTGTTTTACAAGTCTGGAAACTAGCTCACAGAGGTTAACTACATTCCCCAAGGTCGCTCAGTTGTAGGAGGGGACAGGGCTGGATTCTCTGTTATTCCTAGGATGTGGTTCTAGTAGGGATGTTTTCAGGACTGTCCTGACAGTATCATTGAGCCATCTCTGAACAAGGACATATTTTCCTCGCTTCAAATTCTATCCTCATTATTTAATCTTTTAGCCGTCTTTTACTGAATGTTTTGGGGGGGCTTTAAATAATTGATGAGTCTGTGATGGCTTTCAGGTGGAGTCTAGAATGTTTACACACAATTAAGCTTAGAATCATCTATCTTTGAGGAAAATATGCTTGCATTGCAAGAGAAAATGCTCAGCTCCACAGTTGAAATCCCTTAACCACACAAGCCAAGCAAATCCCAATGGACAAATCACTCACTGGATGGTTTTGGGTATAAAACTCATACATATCTATGCAGGAGCACACATCTACCCGTATACAATATGCAGAGGCCTCTTTCCACACAAACAAGCTGTGTCTCTGCATGTCTGCACCACCCACACCTCTTCATTGGTCAGTTTATAACCTGGTCCTGGTGTGCAGCCTTTCCTTTATGCTTCAATGAACCCATGATATCATTGATTTGGAAGTTCCTTCCCCCAAAGTAGATATAACAACATATTCTTGAGCTCTCAGTCTGTGTTGCTCTCAACAATGTCCTCATGTCAATTTGGGGAGGGGACCCACCCACCAAACTGGAGGCCTGGAAACACTCTCTCTTAATATCACAATGGTAAAGTAAAACACCTGGCACATAGTAGGTGCTTAATAAATGCTTTGAAGAAGGAAATAGAAAATCTCTCCAGTTTCTTTGCCAAGAAAACCTCAAATGGGGATCACAAAGAGTAATATATTTAAGAAATGATTGACCAACAATGAATACTTGTAGGCTAACTGAACAGTGCAGGATTCTGGCTATGTAAGCGTGACACACACCACCACCTTTGACAAGTGATGAGCATACCAACTGACATTTTTTGTGGTTATTTTTTGGAATTCTTCCTTAGTTATATCTTAGTTAATTGTGGTAGCCTCTCCACTGTCCTCCTAGCAGCAACAGCAACGGCAACAGAGTAAAGTAGTAGTAGCAGTAACAATAAAGTGGTAATAAAGTAGTAACAACAGCAGCAGTAAATATAATTTTAAGGTGTGCATAGCATTTCACAAATAGCATTCCTCCTTATCCTCACAATAGCTCTGGGAGGTAGATGCTATTATTATCTCCATTTTACAGAAGAGGAAATTGAGACAGTGGAGAAGTGACTTGCTCAGTATTGGAGCTCGATTTGAGCTGTGACCTCTCGAGTTGAGGCCCAATGCTCTGTCCACTGTGCCACCAGCTGCCTCTGTTTCCTCTTCAGATACTCTCATAATCCATTTTTTGCTACCATACAGAAACGCACGTGCACGCGCACGTGCACGCACACACACACACACACACATACACACATACATTTTCCCTTTCTTGGAAAGCTTGGACTCATTTAAAATAACTTTTCAATTCTCCAAAGATGATTCAGGCCACTCTTCTCCTCATTCAACTCTGGGCCCAGCCAGCTCTTGGTATACACACTGACGAGCAAGTTCTCCAGGCTGTTCCTTCAAATGGGCACAAACATTCGTCATCTGCTTGACCTTTCTGGGATAAATGATCCAGCCAAATTCCTTCCATAACTCATAAATCCCTTGTAAGACGCACTTCCAATAGTGCAGGACTCGATGCTGTCAGCATGTGATTCAACAACAGGATCATCTGGAAGGACTCATCTACAGAGAATTACTCGAATTTGAACTCCAGGCTAGAACCCCTCCATCCCATTGGTGAGAAGACATCCCCCTGTTTCATTTCTCTTCTCGTGTACATGATCAGAGGGCCTTCAAAAGGTATCATTTCTTTTGTTGTATTATTCACTGAATTTGAGATGATTCTGAGATGCGCTTGACACGCTGCTGAAAAAGAACCTGTAAGGCAAGACTTTGCTCTCCTGGACCAAATGACTTTTTCATAAGCAATAAGCACAGTGAGATCTTATTTTCTTTTAATTTTGGAGTTGCGAGATGGTAGGAAGGTGGTCTTCTTGGTGAAAGCCTGTCTGCTCATTCCTAATGCCTTCATTTAAATGATATACATGCAATAGAGATAAAGATGATCATCAGCAGAATCTTGGCCAGCAAGTTAACCAAGCCATCAATCAATTAATAAACATTTATTAAGTCCCCGTATGTGCCAGGTACTGTGCTGGAAGATGAGGGTACAAACACAGAACGAAAATGATCACTGTTCCAGAGGAACTTTCAGGCTGGCAAAGGGAAACAGTATGAGCATCTGCTGGCATATAGGAATTAGATAAATCATAATTGGGAAGGGGAGGGAAGGCACTATCAGCAGAAGGGAGGATCAGGAAGGGCCTTGTGCTATTGTGTTCATCCTTCACTTTTGAAGTGGACCAGTGGCATCACAGGGTGACGTTGTGATTCACTTAAGTGACGTACAGGTGTGCAAAGTTGGCAGCCTCACTCTCCCTTCCAGTCATTGAAGTCTAGACCAAAGACAACTGGCAAAGGCCTGGAAGGCAGTAGATGACCTTGGTGACTTCCACGTCTGACAAGCTCTAAGCACCCACAGTGTTGTTGAAATACATTGTTCTCATTGACCCATTCCACCGTGGGAAGTTTTCAAGTGCTTGGTGTAGACATACCCCTCACTTGACGACAGGTTTGAGGCCTGTCAGCTACTCTTACTCTGGGTTGGCCTGTCTGCTGAGGTGATTTTGAGAGGGTGTGGCTGCTGAGCATACGACAGCTTCCTGGAGACACAGGTGAGAGTTGAAGGCCAGGTAGACATCAAAGGTGGATGAGCAGACCCAGTAAGGCTTCAGCAAGCCCTCACACCAGAGCTGCTAGTCCTCCTGAATGCCCCATACGCCAGAAGGCAACTAAGTGGCACAATGGATTTAGAGTTAGGGAGACTTGAGTTCTAATCTCACCATAGACACTTACCAGCTCCATGACACTCAGCAAGTCATAAAACAACAAAAACAACAACCAAATCTATTTGCCTCAGTTTTCCTCAACTATAAATGGAAATAATAATAACATTTCCCATGCAGGATATCAAATAAGAATATTTTCAGGCATTTATCACAGTGCCTGGCACATAGTAGATGCTTAATAAATGTTTGTTGCCTTCCCTTATTCTCTTTCCTTCCTTCCTTCCTTTCTTTTCTTTCCTTCTTTCCTTTCTTCTTTCTTTCCTTCCTTCCTTCTTTCTTTCCCTCAAATTTATTCCTCCTCCAAATGTCCACATTTCTGTTGGGGATGCCACCAGCTTGCCAGTCAGTCATCTACATTCCCATCTTTGTCAGTTTCTTCCATATCTGCCAGAGTTCACCTATCACCACCGAACTTTTTTTTTTATGATAACTACATCAGGTGGTCTCATGATGCCTTGATCTCCTCTCCACTGTACACTCAAGGCAAAGCCAATATCTTATCACACCCCAACTCTAAACTCATGAAAGCTGTGTATGTGGTCAGGGGTCTCCTCACTTCAGGAAGAGGATGGCACCTGGAGCATGGGCCTTCTCCAGCTCCCATACTGCGCCATTGCCGCTTGTGAAAATCTTGGCCTTATATTGAAGAAGATGACCCCAGTGGTTGTCAGTGAGAAGATTCAGATGAGGCTGGGTGATTGACTTGTCAGTGGGTTGAGTTTTGAGAATCTAATGGCAGTTTAAAAACATAAACAGGACAGGACAGATTTTGCCCAATCTGCCTCTGACATGTTTTCTAAGCAGCAGCCTCAGGCTTGTGAATGAGCTATTCAAGAAGACAACAAAAGAGAGGCTAAGCTGGGCTGGGAGACTTCAGGGAGTGCTTGGGAACTGCTGCCAAGCCCATCCCCATTTCAGATCACGTGCCCTATTCCTCAGTTATTTAAATCTGGCCATCTGGAGCTTTGTGTGTGGATGGCTCTGTCAATAGTAGAGAAATCATAATATCTCACATTTATATAGCATTTCCCAGTCCATCCAAGTAGCTTAGAAGTGAATTAAAATAAAACTCATCCGTCTGGAATTGTTTTAGTAACTTCTGGCTGCTACTTGGGCATTTTTGTATGGTGCTATAGAAGAAATCAATTTCATGAACCAGATAGACCACATGCCATTATCCACTTTAGCTTTATAAAGGTACTTGTAGACACCGGGGGATGAGTGATCTCCTCAGTGTGGGCAATTCCTCCAAAGATGTGAGTTGCAACCCATCCTTCCCTGCCTATTTCATGCGTCTGTTGTCCAAGTCTGCCCCTCAGTTTCCCTAGAAAGAACTCTGCCGCTCATCACCTTCGGGCCTCCTTGTTTTCTCTTGGTGTCATGGGTTTTCATTCTTTCATCTCTTGTTCTTGCTCCACGAGCGAAGGCCATCAGGAAACCTGCTGGGTGGGACGCACCTGTGGCTGGATTCAGACAGTGAACTGGGATTCAAAGGACAGACCAGGCTTGGCAGTTGCCATTTCTTGAGAAAAAGTGACCACCCTACTCATCTGTCAATCTGTCAACAGGTAAGTGTTTATTAAGCACAAACTCTGTGCCAGGCCAGAGGACAAAAAAGGACCATGATGTTGATGGTTTTCTTTGTTATTCTGGTATTCTCAGCCCC